TTAGATTGATATTCTTCATTAGGTGAGCAAAACCTTAGGAAAATATCGATCATTTGAAGGAAGTCAATCATGTTTGTGACAAATAAAAATGTATGAAAAATTCTTAGCAATAACGTATATATTAAATTTAATAATTTAGTTGATATAAGCAACTCTTGTCTGTTCATATTAGATGTGAATTCTATGAGATAAAGCGTCAACTTAGCTCAACTCATTAGTGAGGTGTTCTTCGAAAACTTTCAAGCCAAGTCGCATAAAAGGAGTTCTTAAAAGCTTTTGAAACAATAGTTCATTTACTCAAATGTACAACTCTAAATGTTTGTATTATATTTTGTTAACTTATATAAGTAAGTGTTTATCATGTCAAAATTATCAGAAAAGAAGCAGTTAATCATTTTTGTTTGTATGCATAAATTTACTATCATATAAACAAAATCTAAATATCAATTAGAGAACTGAGTAATACGTAGACATATGACTTAAAATGTATTGAAAAACTATTGCCCTAATCTCAATCTACCATTGACTAACTTTCATAGAATGATGTTACTTCAAAAATTTGGTTTATGTAGAGAAGAATATTGTTTATATGCAATAATGAAAAAGAACTTGAAATTTATTATAGATCGTTATAGTTTTTAAAAACATTCTTGATATTATTTAAGACTAAATTTTGATTCAAATATAGTTAATATGAGAATATCTAACTTGCTTTTTTTTTTGTAAAAAATTCTACTTTCTTTTTCAAAATTCATCATTATATTGATTTCTTATTGACTATCAACGTTCAACACTATTATGACAGTATGAATGAAAAACAATAAACTCTTAGACTCTATATTCTATGTCAATAATGAGTGATAAGATGTGAATCATGATGAATTTTTCGATCGAAGTAAAATATTTACAGAAAATGAAATTGAATTTAAACTCTGAAATAGTTATATTAATCAATAGTTCTTCTAAAATCTTTCTTCAGTTTTTACAAAAACTAGCCATTTCTACAATAAATTTTGTTTCATATCTTAATCCTTTCTTCCCGTGAAAAACTGTTCTTGATAATACTTAAGTCTGTCAGTATTTTGGGATGTGAATGTTGCTTAAAAGCGTGCCATCTCCCCATCCACATCTATATGCGTGAATGTTCATGTGAAACAAGTTGTTGAGAATACCAGTCTGTATCCTACAGTACATGATGTAGTTGTATTTTCAATGTTAGAAAAAAACAAAAATTTGTTCAAATTTTAGTTCTGATCTTATTCGATAAAGAATTGATTTCTTTCGAAAACAACGAATCTCTGTAGTCAGAGATATCTGTCATGTAGGATTTATGTCTACAGGATAAAAAGAGTAAGTCGTTTTTTTTAAACGATAAGTTTCCTCTTGTCTACGAATGAAAGCTGATAATGAAAACAAAGTATTTTTGTATAAAAGATAAAGAACCATTTACTCAAAATGCTTGTGATTTTAGCATGAGTTACAAATGTTTTATTCAAGAGAATGAGATTACGACCTCACACTCTAAGATAGCTTTAATGTTATTATGCCATTGTATCTTGTTAGAAATTAGACACTTTTGATGAAATACTGATTTTCGTATCATCAACAATGCACAATTAAATTATGAAAATAATGATCTATATGCTAATTTAAATAACAAATACATGTAGATTATTCAAAATCAGTCAAAAACAATATGTCGACTTTGTCTAAAATCTATGTTTCGTCACACTTTGAAAGTTTAATCGAGTGATGCAGAAATCTATTTCAAAATATTATAGCATGTTTCAAAATTTATTAAATTCTTTCTTTAAATACTCGCTATTTAATTTTTGGTATGTTGATTTTTGCATATTTATGAAAGACAAAAAATGTTTTATCTCAATAAGTTTGTTTAGATGCGAATAATCTAAATCTATTAGGAAAATAGATAACCTTGATAGTTCATGTAGAAAATTATAGATTTTCATTTATTGTCATGAATAGGACAATTCAAAACATGTATTAAATATATCGAAAGTAGCAGGTAACATTTGATCTTTTTATCATGAGGCAGACATTCCTTCATTTTCTAATATAAGAAAAGAAACAGAACATTTTCGAAACAAAATCTTTATATACATCTTATGTAACCAAAATTTTTCGTAGAACCTTATCTTCACGAAGATTTTTATCATAATATTAACAGCAGATTCTACAATTCTGTGGACAGCTACTAATTATCTTAATGCTTTCATTTTATTTTTGTTTGTCGAAATTTCTTTAGTAGAAAAAAAAACGTTTCAAACATGAAGCTGTGGATTTTTTGATACACATGAAAATTTTGGTCTCATTCAACAGACTTGCCAGTTAAATTCAGCTTTTGTGTTCGAGAATAAATCGAATATTACATTTGGTAATCTTGATGACCAATAAAAAAAGAACTTGAGTTTCGAAATGAAGATAGAAAAACAAATTTTGAATAAGTTCCTATATCTCACAAAACTACTTGTAATATATTCAGATTATCTCTACTTTCAAAACATAAAAATGAGAGAGATAATAAAAGCAGACTAGTTAATTTTAGTCCTTATCCAAGGACCAAAATGATGGAATAATTCAATTTTTTTTCCAAAGCGTTCAAGGAAATGTCAAAAACGTTCAAAACGATAAAACTTTTCAAGAGCTCTCTCAGAATATATATTTACTTATGTGAATGAATTTTTCTAAAATGATGAAGAATCAATAAAAAAAATTAATTTAGTTGATAATGAAAAAAATTAAGGACGTGGCAATATTTCCATATCATTTGATTTACTTTCCCAATGCATAAGTGTAAATATATAATACTGTACAAAACTTAAAATACTTTTAGAATATCTACTATATCTTTTTGATGGTATCGCTTTATGTGTGGAATATATTTGAAGTTTCGACTAAAATTAATTACTTGCCACTCCGATTTAGAACTTCGATACATTTATCAAATGAAATTAGAAGGAAATTATTTCGTCTCACATTAAGAAGACAGATGAATGAGAATAGAAATGCTGCAGATACTTTATTTTCTATATCGTTGGGATCCCTCAAATAAATTAGTTTCAGCTTACCATAATCCGCCTGAAAAAGTCGTAAGTAAATCACATGTTTGTTTGCCTTGCAGTCTAATTCAACTTTTTCCACACTAAAAAAAACACCTGGTATAATCAGTTCCTCTTCTTCATTCGGATATTCAGATAATTCACGAAGATCAGCAGTAAAAGCATGGTCTAATTTCATAATAAATAAAGTATTACCAAATTCTTCTGCTTTTTCACGATTTCGGCTACATGATGAAAAAGCTTGAAATGATCCAAGTTTACTTGAGTTTTTGGCCATATCTTCATAGGAAGCAATTTGTTCAGGAGTCAATTGAGCTCCTCGGTAAAGTGTTGTTCCCCTTTTTGTTTTTATATTAATTGGATCATCCCACAGTAGTAAACAAAATGGACCTAATGTACGAATTTTACTTCGCCATACATTTTCGTGCTTTTCATCTCCTACTAATCTCATGGCTGCATTCAAAGTTTTATATAGAAAACTTTCTAAGGAGTAAAGATAAGCACAACATTTCCATATTTCTTTCATGTCTTGGTTCTTTTTTTCTCTAAGCATATTTGCCATTTTTTCTGCTTCTCGTTCTTTCTTGAGATATTTGCCTTCTTCAATTATACCACGAGCTGCTTTTTCAACAAGCATTGGTACCATAGTTGGCTTTTTCGAAGGTAATTCATCTATTTTAAGACCTAAATCTCTTCGAACTTCAACTACAAATGGCGACATCCAACCATATTGACCACCAAACGAACGTGCCGTAGAAACAGGAAGATCTACAAAACGTTCTTCTCTTAGATGTTTATCTTCTCTTTTACGCACGACGCGTTTAACAGGCCTTCGTTTGTTACCATCAATGTTGGATACTTGAAGATTTTTTTGAAAATCAATACAATAATCATCTAAGAGTGCTAATGATTGTTGGTCTGTAAATGCTTCTTCGATAATTAGATTTTCCACATCTGAATAATGACTCCATATAGCTGATTCTGATTCAGACCATGGATTTGGATTTGACTTCCACATCCATTCAACCTGTTTCAAACTATTTCTTGATGTTGTAGGCAATGCCATGGCCATATTGATCAATTATTTTTTTTTCTGTTTCTAGTTTTACAAATATAACTTTTATCTTTTGCTCGATTATCTGAAATTTTCTAAAAAACAAACGTTTTGAAATCTATGAAGAGACAGAAGAAACTTTATTCTTGAACTTTCCTCAAGTGACTAAGTTCTGTAAAATATTCTTGATTTTCATAAAATCCTACAAATTCTTTTCAACTATTGTGAAATCTCTTGAATTCTAGTGAAATTTTTCGAACTACAAAAAAATTCTTTGAAAATCTCCACAAAATCAATTAGCTTTTTCGGACTCTCATACAAAGTTTAAATATCATCGAAACTTTTGAAAATTTGAATTCTGTTGCTTTTTCCTCGAATGAAACATATTTCAGCTTCTATCGATTTTTAGTAGATTCTTGCTGAATAACTTCAACTGATTCTAACTGACAATATGGGTTTTGAATAGTACAGAATATCATTCATATTGCTAAAAGCTTTTCATAAACAATCGGAAACAATTTTCTTAAATCTATTTTATTTTAAACATCTAGTTGAGAGTAAAGATTTATCTAAGTAGAATTTTTTTGCTGCTCTGAGTTTCTTTGTTGAGGAATGAAAGATTTAATCTAATGAAGTGTCACTGTTTTTGTTTACTTTAAAGATGTATGTCATAAAATGATCAGTTAAGTAATCAGCATAGGCGAATATTCAAAACTTTGTCTGATGAAAAGCTGCACACATCTATTGACTTTATTTTGAAAAAATTTCAGTCTCTTTTACATGCTGTTCGAGCAATTTTATAATTATTGTCTTGAATCACATAAATTCACTATAAATAAGTCGAATTATTGCTTTGGTTTTGATTTATGCCTCGAAATTTTGATCAAAAAGTTTCATATTAGAGGCTCTATCTTGGAAATTTTCTAGCCCGATTCAACCATTCAAAATGGAAAATCTTTTATGAGAGAGAAGAAATCATTGAGTAGCGACCTTGTTAATGACGTTTTTCTTTTATGAAAATTTTAAAATTATCTAATAATATCCTATTTAATTACCAGCAAACATAAATAAAATACATGAAAATATGTTGAAAAAAAAACTTTATTTTCGCATCTGCTAAAATATGGATATCTAAAAATAAGGTAGGGTCTAGAAGATAAAATCAACTGAGTACGCTTGAACCAGAGTATAGATTTCATAAGACTAGATATTTTGAGGATAAGAAAGTGGCTTTAGACCCATTGTATAGAATAACAAAACAGTATTAATCTCAAGAAATTTATTGTCACGCATATTTAAGAAAGTTTCATTCAACATTGACATATAAAGAAAAGATAGTTATGGACTCACAATCTGTAGTAAATTGTGGAAAAACCTAATCAATACCTATCAAAATTGAAATGAAATTTATTCTGTTTGGTGATTTTTATTTTTAAAAATCTCTAAAACCTCAATTGTCTCAGAGAAAATAAAAATCAATTAATATACCTTAATATCAATACATAGAATAAGAGATAAACTTTAATCAACCATCTATCAATGACTATAATTAATTTTGTTTTTATTCAAAGCTGTTTTTACAAAATAAATATACGAAAAAACGAATCTTCGTTTTTTCTCTCCGTGTTTCTATTACCTAGAAAGTATAAAAACAAATTAATTAACATTTTCAAGTGGAATATCACGTGAAATAATGAATGTTGTTGATAGAAGTTGTTTCGAGAAAGAGTCGTTTAACCTTTTGTCTTTCCTTGGTCACTGTAGTAACCGTTCTTTTTGAATTTACAGAAATTGATTGATAAAAGAAAACTCTTGTTGGATTGGGTGTGGGTGTGGGTGATTGAGTAAGAATAAACTACAACACATCCACACATCCTTACTACTCGACATGAGTTTAGACTTTTTATGATCAAAACTGTATTAGCTTAAGATTAATGCTTTTTCTTAAGAATTGTTCATTAATACTTTCTACAATCTAATCCGTTCCTGTGACTTTCAGCTAAACTTACAAAAGGTGAAATTAATAACAGTACTCGATGTTTCTTTGAAAAACTGAACCAAGAAACAGGCTATTACGAAATGAAACTCTCTTAAAAACTGGCTTACTTATCTGCTATGCCGTGTGTGCAGAAGCACAGTGATCTGAGACCAAGGTAGACAAACACTTTCAAAAACGCCTTTTAACGCACAAAAAAGGTCTTAAAATCCGCAAACAATGGACGTGTTTGGCTCGCAATCGCGATTTCCGACTCTCAGCTAAAAAACAACCAGTTTTTACCGGTTTTGTGCGTTTAAACACGTTTTTGAAAATGTTTGTCTGCTCGGGGAGAGTTCGATATTCGTAGCTAAATATTTTTCTTTCGGTTACTGTTAAGAAAAACGATTCTCTTTTGATACATATGTTGATCTGAGCATGTTTGCTGGAAGTGACTGAGTACAACGCCAGAAGAGTTAGCAGTAGAATCATTTATTTTCTGTATAGAATCGTCCGTCACATTGTATTAGCTCTCTAAAAGGCTGTGATGGATGCGGCAATTTATTCGCTACCGGATGGTTTTATTTTCAATATGAATCATCTGACAAAAACTGGGATTTTACTTACAATACTCTATTATCTGCTCGAAGCGCTTAGTAACCCCTGTGGGGATTGATGTTCTTTCATTTCTTTGTTTCTTAAACGAGTGCGCTCAACTACAAATTAGATTCTATACCTAATGTTAATATTCTCCTAGAATTTGCGACAAAATATGGATCTCTAGGCTGATGAAAATGAACGTGTAAGCAGTGGATCGACTCGATTATCACAAGCTTTGCTTTTCGAACATTTATTACATTACGCAAAGAAACTTCGTCCCTAAAGAAAGACTTCTAGTGTGGGTGTACTACACCCCTAGTGGCATCTGAGGAAAATCTCAAGTCTGATAACCGGTACCGAAAAGTTGACCGGTCAATAGAAAATTGAACGCTAAGCCAAGCTGAGTCATTTAAAGGACCAAGATAGGTAACTGGGCGAATCTCAACGAGAGTTACTAACGAAATAGAGGCAATCGATAGAGTATTTGAAGTGCAAAACGTAGTTCTCAGTAACATGATCCACTTGGAAAAAGAAACTATCGAATAGAGAGTAGAATTCTGTGTAAAATACGATCTTTTAAAGGGCTGAATAAGTTTGAAGGACGAATCAGAGCCGGAAATTTTAGGATCCCGTGTTAACTTTACTTGCGTACAGAAATTAGCAATCTATTCAACATTCGCGGAAACTCAGAAGCACTACATGCTTCTTACTTCTAGAATAGAGCGCATCCTCTCTGTGTTCGAATTATTTTTTAATAGTTAAACGAACTTTTCAGAAAATGATTTCGCACAAAACTCGAAGGTCTCATCAGCAGAGAATTTTAAGTAAATAGTATTCAAAATTTTTGGTATTAGTCGTATTCCAAATTAAAAATTTTTAAAAAAGAACAGCTACCTGCTTTGTCTCCTTTGAAAATTTCTTAGGCATTTGGAATGAAAAATCTTTCCAAAGATCGGTAGTTCGCGGACGGGATTAGATTCCTCTGTGTTTTATATTAGCGGCAATGCTACTGGATATCTAATTATGATCCATACTCAAGTACAAAGAAATAACATAGAATATTTCAATATCTTTTATGACACTTTTGAGTTTACCCAGTGAAGGATATGAAATAGATAGGCTTTAGTATCATCTTAAGTTCTTCCCTTGTTGGAAAACATTCTTTCTCTGTGATTTTAAGCTTTGAAAGATTTTCCTAGAATCAAAAACAAATCTCAATAGTTTTTAATAGGAGAGAGGTTACTATTAACACAAAAAGGCACCGTGCGGTTGACGAACACTAAGTTCATCTGTAGAAGACACTCAAATGTTGCTCATCCACTGATCGAATTGTTTTGAAAATCATTAGCATTAGCACGAAAGCTGACTTTTTTAATGTCACTAGAATCTTTATTGTTCATTCAACATCTCAATATGTTGACTTCTTTTGCAATTCAATAGGAGTAAGATAAACTATCTTAGGCACAAAGAAGAGTATTTGATATGTTACTGTACTCAAAACGTGTTGTTTAATACTTGAAACCCTCTTAAGTAATAACAGTATCAGATTATGAGGGTTTGTTTGGTATATTTGCTTTTCAATCTTTCTGAGCTCTTCGATAGACAATATTAAGTGCGAAATTTCATTTTCTGCTAAATAGTACCATTGCCAGTGAAGATAGTCGAGTTAAAGATTTTCCCTGTCCCTTTTCATATGACTGTGCTATTGATTGCTGATGTCAGTCGATCGTTGGTAACTTACTGTTAGTGTTCTACTTTCGAAAGACTTCAAAGAAGGATGTAAAAACTGAAAATATCGTCTGTGCTTTTACTTAAATGCATCCAGAGGATAATTTTAATTTGATGAATTCCATAGAGAAAGGGTCACGTTCAGTTTCGATGTTAATATCAAATCGGAAGAGCTATTCAGAAAACGAATGCGCAGAAGTGTAATTATCTATACTGAACTGAAACCCTGTTGTTTCAGATGATTCTTCTATCGTCTTTTCTTTGATGACTCTCAACGAAAATGACAATGTTACATAGAGAATGAAGCTCCCCACCTAAAAAGAAACAGTAACCAAAATCAAGCAAAAAAAGACCTTAATTCCTTGGATCACTGCTAGCACAACTTTTGTTTTAAATATTGCAAACCCAGTCCTTTCCATCTGAAATGTTTATGAAATTCTGTATGAAATTTTAAAAGTTTCATTAAGTTGACTTGTATCATAAGCATCATTGAAAAGGTCAACAATCCGCACATATATGATGCAGGTTTTTCCAGATTAACATGATTTGAAATCCAGCAAGAGCTTGCTGTATTGCATCTATGACACTACGTCCAACTTACTTCTACCTATTTTTCGATCAAAATATTTGATAACGCGATAGAGTGTCGGGACAGCAGTGGGTGAAAAGGCTTTCAGCCACGCAAACACCTATACTGATAACACTTTCTCTTAAT